CAGGATCTGAAATGTCTGCAGACTGGTGTGAGCAGTGAGGATGCTGCTGTGGACTTCTCCATCCTCACTGCTCACACCAGTCTGAGGACATTTCAGATCCTGCAAAGATGCACAAACACAACACAAAAGCAGTAATTTTAACAGCATAATGTCATCTGATTTCTGTACTGGAAGTAACAAAATGATCTTATTTATATTTTTGTTTCAGGTTCTTCTCCATCTTCACTGCTCACACCAGTCTGCGGACATTTCAGATCCTGCAAAAATGCACAAACACAATACAAAAGCAGTCCTTTTAACAGCGTCATTTGATTTCTGTATTTGAAGTAACAGAATGATTTATTTATATTTTTGTTTTAGGTTTTCCCTTTTTTTCCCCACAAATGCCACCGTCACCTTTCCTTGCGGGTCCTGCTCCACCACAAAAGCTGTGCAGCAAATGCACAGGAATCAAGAATCAGAAAAGTGCTGTAATAGTTGTTTGAAATTACAATAATTAATATAAACTACAACTTAAGATTTAAAAGATGTTTATATAGCATTCCTTCATCAGTCAGTCTGCAGCAGATAAACACACGTGTGTCTCATCTGTCCCTGTAACATCCAGACAAGAGTCAAGTCACCTCTGTGATTTATCTGCTCAATACTGCATTTACATGTTGAGGTAGTTGCTGATGTAACTCGCTTTTTATTCAACACAAATGTTCCTTAAATTATCAATATTACAAATGGACAAATAAAATAGATTACTTTTTACTTTATGTAGTAGATTAAGTCGGGATTAGGCCATAGTTCAATTAGGACATTTAAGTAGCTCTTATAAACATGCCTTGGATCAAAACACTACTGATGTGCATCTTGAGACAAAAAAACAATTATTTTAAGATCAGTCAGTTCAAGTTGCTTTCAGTTAAAACAGCCCAGACATGCATTTTAGTCTGGGACTAGTCTTGACCAGCCTTGTCTGTGAAACCGGGGGATAGCGTTTTTACACCTTTTGCTTATATATTGCTTACTTTACACCTTAGTTTTAATACATTATTAACTCCATAAACAACACCACTGTATGAAAATAACTTACACACTTCAATTTGAACGGTTATTTCTGGACAAAAAAAAATCTGCTGTTTCTATACAAGCGGCCATCTTGCCAATAACATCTCGTTTTGACATCTCGCGTGGTTCTGTGTGATTTGGACAACTTCAAGTTACGCCCTCTTCCAGTTACGCCCCTCTCTTGCAGTCCGCAGACAGACACTTTTGCCAAAAGAAGAAGAAGAAGAAGAAGGGTTACACGTGCCGATTTCAAGACCAGTCTGAAGGAAAACAGTCATGCCTGGAATTCTGTTAGGAGACGTGTTTCCTAACTTTGAAGCAGAGACTACTATCGGCAAAATAAAATTTCATGAATTCTTGGGAAACTCGTAAGTAGCTAAATATGTAATTTTTGTTTTTGAGCGAGCCGGCCTACTCCGATACGATCTGTAATACACGCTTATTGTGGTTTGCCGCATTCACGCATGATCATGAGGTGTAAACAGGAGCTGATGCTTTACTGATACATCTGGTTGTAATATGGCATGTAGGGACGAACGAACATCCGGTTTTCTGTGTCTAGCATTATACTTAAACGGAATACACGCATTAAATAATCTTATTAGCAATAGTTGTATCTTTAAAAAATATCATTTCTTATTTATTGCAACAGAGCTGGCTTAAAAGGGAGTCTGAAAGACCCTTTATGTTAAGTTTAAGCCATAAGTAATCTGCAGCAGGAAGCTTTTTTGAGTTTTTTTTATTTTTTATTTTTTTTAGGACTCTGAGTAATAAAACCCTGCTTTTATTGCATGACGTTGCTGCCCAGGGATGCACTCGGTGTAATAGCACAAACAAACTATTGTATAATTCGTAACTAGTATATTATGTCTATTTTTTAAAAAGGGTGCAACATACAGATCTGAGGTCAAATCAAGAAAGGCAAACAAATAGCAAATTTCTCACAGTTATGTCATGACGTTGCTGCCCAGGGATGCACTCGGTGTAATAGCACAAACAAACTATTGTATAATTCGTAACTAGTATATTATGTCTATATTTTAAAAAGGGTGCAACATACAGATCTGAGGTCAAATCAAGAAAGGCAAACAAATAGCAAATTTCTCAGTTATGTCAGTGTTCTCTTTAAACCGCTTGAATGTACAAAATGTTTGGGAGGGGGTGTAAAATGTGCCGAGTCACTGTGGCTGTAAGAGTTCACATAACAAGGCCAGTATTGTTGAGATTTTGGCAAGAGTGTAAAGTGTTTGAAAGTCCCCCATATTGTGCCAAAAGATTTTATTTTATGCCTCAAAAGGTTTAGAGTTTAAATTCAAGTGAGTTTTATTTGTTTAGCACGTTTCACGATACACATAGTTTCAAAGCCACTTGACAGAAACTCGTGATGTTAATGTTTATAAAATGTTTCCGCAATTAGCAGATTAAAGCTGTGCAATAATGTAAACAATCAGACTAATTCAAATGTAGCTATATAGTATGTATTGCTTTGACTAAGTGTACTATATGTATGCAGGCCATTTTGGATGTTCTGTATATCCAACTTGAAATATATTTCTGGATGATAATTTAATTTCCATTAACAGTCAAGCAGTTGAGATTTGCTGTATACTATATAATGCTTCAATTCACACGATGCATGTATGGGATATAATGGGCATCTACAAACCATGTACACTTGTCCAGTAAACATAATATAACCTGTTTTAAATAGAAAAATACATGAAAGCAGTATGAGCTGTTTATTTATGGTGTTATTTTCATAGCATAGATATTTTCATAGCAGAGTGGAAAAGTTTTGTTGAGCAGGCTGAGGCCAATGAACTGACCTGAAAAAAAAAAGTTGCATTCTTAATATTCAGGTTGTGTAACTGTCCTCAATTGCCCCTTAATATATTATCTAACAGAAGGGGGCGTGACTGTGGTTCCCATTTCAAGCCAAACATCCTCCACAGTGTGTCTAAGAGTTCTTCCCTTGGGAGGCAAAAGCGGAAGATGCTGAAATTGAAGCATGTAGCAGATGTTGTGATGAATAAGAGGGTGTTTAGCAACCGTATATTCTACATTTCCCAACTTAAAGTTTTGTAAGAACACACAAGCTTCTTAAAATCTTCCTGTTTTTGACCATTTTATGGTACCATCATTAAAACTTGTCTTCCAATTTACAGAGTGAACCTACAATGTTGTGAAAGAGTTTGCAAGAGTTTGAATTTCCTTTCATTGTGGCGATCATATGAAAGGACATCCACAGAGTTTGGCGTTGTTTCTTTAACAGCAGTCAAAACAGATGTTGGCTTTTGAATAAGAAGTGCTGCTCTGTGCGTTTCTACTAAACAATACTGAAAATCTTTTGGGCTGAATGGAGATAATGTACATTTATCATGCTAACTGGAGATTCCCATAACTTTTCAGATAGATAAAGAGAATGTTCTCAGATGCCCTCAAATTCATGTCTGCAGGGAGTGAATTATTCTTTTCCTTATAACTTGAAAAACATGTGACATGGTTACACAATCCCAATATGATGAATTGTCTATACACCCAGATGGTTTCCTGACACGACTGTTTTGTAATGGCTCAGCCTGTCGTCTATTGCGCTTTTTCATTAAATGGATAATTTACTGCTGATAAGAATTGGCTTTTAAAAAAGCTTGGGTGACTATGCAGAAGAAAGATTGTTTTTAAACTGGTGGTGCTACATTATATTACTAGAGAAAAAGGGATGTGCTGTTACTTTTTGCTTAAAAGGTAGGAGAAATGTATTGCCTATAACACTGGGCTTGATCCGACTGTCCGTGAGATGGGATGCAAAAATGCAGAAGTATGATCTGATGATCCTTTCACAAAAGGAGCTGTCAAATTTACATATACTGCATTTATTTCTTCTTTAGATGGGGTATCTTGTTCTCACACCCACGTGATTTCACTCCAGTATGTACGACCGAGCTAGCCCGTGCTGCGAAGCTTCATGATGAGTTTAAGAAACGTGATGTGAAGATGATCGCGTTGTCCATTGACGGCGTGGAAGACCACCGCAAATGGAGTGAGGTCAGCAGATATTACACGCATACGTCCCACAAAAGAAATACTGAACTCCTGACTCATTATTTATTTGATTTATTTATAAATTAGATTTTTATTTAAAATTTAAAATTATAGTTTTAATATTAATATTACTACTAAATTTCAAATCTTTTGGATATATTGCAAATGCCATTTAAACATACTGTAGATCTGGTTTACGTGACCTAATTTGATTCAGTAAACTTCTTGACTGATGAAACCTGAATAGAAATAACACACCTTTGTGACAGTGTATGGTTCATCTGTGTTCTTCAAGCCATCTCAGAGATTTTTCACAAGGATAATGTATATTTGTAATGCAGTGCTAATTGGCATAGCCTTTATCGCTGAATAGAATACTATGGCTTATTCTGTGATAAGAAGCTACATCAGTTCACAAAAAGAAGTTATTTCAAACACTTGATTGATGCTACAACTCGAGTTTAGGGTAAAATATGTTGTTATTCTCATAAATTCTTGTACTTTGATGCTTTGCCGATGATGGGAGAAACAAACCTTTTCGAAGTTTTGAATCAGTTGAACCATTTGCGTTGCAAAACAAATCACTGTTTCAAAGTGCTCAAAATGCCACACGCTACCTACGCCTGCGGGTCAGAATGGTGTAAATGCAACGAAAATTCAGGCCAAAACATGCATAAAAACAGCTTTTACAAAACCCACTGCAAATGCTTTATTGAAAGTATATTATATGCAAGTAACAAGTCATCATTAAATATACCATTAAATGTCTGTATAACGTGTTCTTTTATTATTCAATTTATATTAATTATTTATTAGAATATTTTTACTTTTTTCCAAGATTTCTATAAATATCGCAATATATCGTTATCGTGAATTCTTTTGGCCACGATAATCATGTAGTGCAAAATCGGATATCGTGACAGCCCTAATCTTATACATAAAAATACCTCTTCAACATTGTTTTCGACATTGATAATAAGAAATGTTACTTGAGCTCCATAATATTAAAATGATTTCTGAACAATCATCATGTGATACTGAAGACTGGAGTAATGACTGCTGAACATTCACATTTGCCACAGAAATAAGTTAACATTTTTTAAGGTTAAATACAAATGTATATATCAGTTATAAATAATTGATAATTTCAGATTTCATAAGGGCCAATTTTCTGTAAATTTTTCAGTACAGGCTGCCAGTGATTATCTCTGAATAATTTAAGTGGAAATGCTATTTTAAAAACTAATGGCTTGTAAAGATGCGTGGCATGTTCAGAAATCCGTAGGATGAATGTTACATGGGGTGATTAATTAGTCTTAGGTTATATTAGCTGTTACATCCTCATATCCTAATATGACCAGGGAAATATAGTGTTGTAAACAGTAATCTGATAGTCCCTTGCACCACATGAAATATCCAATAGGTGGCGGTATAAGATCTCTGATCGAATCTCAAACAGAATTTCATACAAACTAGAGCAAAGGGTCAAAGTTTTATTTGACAAGTTTAACAAGTCAAGCATTAAGATGACAAATTACATGTCCGACCTGTTGGTATGTTGCTGAGCTTTCAAACCTTGTTGAACAACCCCAAAAAGCTTCAAGGAATTCTCGAACTGTGATGCCAAACATCAATGCTGGGTGTCAATGAGGCATGAAAGGACGCCTTGTTATCACAAGCATTCCGTTTGTACATTAAAACCTGAAAAATGTTCCCACACAGGCTCTTAGCGGAGTAAATAATTGACACACAATCCTCATTCCTGGGTTACCAGCAGGAAGCGCTCTCCTCAGGCTTTGGCCCTGGGCTCCGAAGAGCAGGTGAGAGCTGTAGTGATGAGAGCAACGGGACTTGTGTGGGGTTTGGGTTACCTCAACTATTCAGCCGACGTTACTGCAGCTCGCATAGCAGGGTGAAGGTCATGGAAGCTATGCGGCTCGACAGCGAGGGCCAGATGCTCTTTTACTTCAGAGTAGAGGACAGATTTCCTCTCTCTCCCTCCCTCCCCAAGAATGTCATGAAAACAGGCAGGGATTCCCCTCATTGTCAGTGAGCTACAGTAAAATGCAGATGGCATGTGTTTGATCGTGAAATGCCAGGTTTCCGGGATGCAGGCCGGACGAGCCAATGGTAGTGTCCGTTACCCTCTCATTACCCCCATGGACTCTGGTGGTTCCTGGCTATCAAAGACATTTCCTACCAAAAGTTTCAAATTATATTTTAAAGAGAGAACAAGTACCACTAGATGGCAGTAGCAGTTTGTGTTGAAGGTTTTCTGCACTAACAGCCACAACTTTGATATTAGAATCAATGTTGTGTCTTTAGCTCTGTTTAGAATGACAATACTCAAGAATGGATTATGAATGAAGTCAAGACCATCAAGGATGGATTATACAGCCTCGCAATGTCAGGGTCCTCCAGCTGAGAGGCCCTCAGGGGCCCGAAACCTGGAGATGAGCTACTGCAGATGTAAAATTAATTTAAATTGCTTGAATAAATGCTAGTGACAAATGCCATAATGGGAAATAAACAAGAAATGATCTTCAAGGATAAAAAGCTATGATTGATGGACAGTTTTAAAAGAGCCATTAAGCTGCAGTCACACTAGACTTCACACTCCATTCGCTTCCATTCATACGGACATAAACATGGGAGTCCGGAAACGCTTATGCAAAGAAGTTTTATCTTTCGTTGCAGACCATGGTTCACGTTGGGTGAACTCTGACATGTGGATTTGTGTAATGAATAGTCATTTGACCAATATTTGACCGACATTTGAGCATCTAAATGACGCAGATTGACCTCCTGGCTGAATTCAACAGGCAAATGTAAAAGCTATGTGGTTTGCTAGTAATATTGGATGATTAAAGTCTAATGTGACCACAGCATTAGGGTTACATCTCAATATGGATATATAATCTTTGCAAATAATATTGTAATGTTACCTGTGCAAATAATTTAATGGTGTGTAACCAAGTTCAATACAAGTTAAACTGACAGCATTTGTGGCATAATGTTGATGAAAAATAATAATAAAAAAAGAAAGGTGAGGTACTTACATTGAAAGTAAATGAGGTTCATTTTTGGAAGGTTTAAAAGAAATGTGATTTATATAATTTATAAAAGTAAATTCATCATTCTGTTAAAACTTTTGTATTTTTTTAAGCTGCAACATTTGTGCTGCTATTTAAGGTGTTATGTCATGGCAACAAAGATTTAACTTTATGCAAAAGATTATTACATTTTATACAATAAAATAATGTTCAAATGCATATTGTTTGCATCTTGTGGCTATACTATTGAAACAGTGAGTATTTTTGGCCCCATTCACTTCCATTGCATGTACCTCACTGTAACCCAGATTTATGATCTTTTTTTTAAAGTCAAAATTAGTTTTTGTGCCATTGATTGAGCTTATATATATCTTTTGTTTTCAAAGTTGTAAATAAAAATTATTTGAGTGTTTCATAAGAAAATTCTACTCCAGTCATTCAACTTTAAAATTGCTTGTTTAATTCAATGTTACTTGATGCTTTTAAATTATTTATTATTTTAATTATTCTTTTTAATTATTTGTGAAATTTACTAGCAATTTCTGAGTGAAAACTGTTTTTACTCAAATTTCTACAATATATAATTCA